ATGCTTCATTGGTTGACTGTGTTGAAATTTTTCAATTCAAGCAAATCGTTAAGTAGTTTCTGTTATTTCTCCAGCAGAAACTTCTTTTGTCATCTAACTACAACTTATATTTCTGATTTGGTGAAAAATAGTTGTCAAATATAACCTTTATACATAATTTTGACATATTTGAATTAAACTGAGACTAAATCATAGCAAAATTATTTATTTGACACAGGCCATGAAGCTATTTTCAGCACATATAAATTAGTTATGGTTAGATTAAGGTAGGTTAAGCTAGGTTAGGTAATATGATGTTATGTTATGTAATGTTAACTTATATTATGTTATATTAAGTTGAGTTTAAAAAAACTAAATAAATCATTATGAATCTTGAAAAAAAACTTTGTTAGTACTGTGGGGTATCCACTCTGAGAAATGTCGTTTCTCTCTTTTGGGGATTGCCGCAATACAGTAGATCCTTCTATAAGACGGTAGATACGTTCCGTTCTTTATGAATCAATTTTGTAGGAATCATAGTTTACGGACTACGGCTGTTTGAAAGGTTTTCTTTCATAAAATTAATCGATTCTAGACTAATTCGACTCAACATTTCCAAAATACGTATATTTTTTTGAAAATAATCCGTATAAACTACGTTATAAACAAAAAATTGTAGGATTACTTACCGAGTGTGTACCCTTTGACTACGCTCGTTGCTAAAGCTTGGTTTCGTCGCGGAACAGCGCATCAAATTGCGGCCGCGATTTCTGATATTATTTTTCTGCGAAAACTTCGTTGACCTTTGGAGACATCCTTAATATAAATAATTTTTATGGCCGTTAAATAAGAAATGTTTCTTTCACAAGAAATGTATAAAATTACAGTACTGGACAGACGATAGGTCGCCTAACTCGCCGTAGCGTGACGCTAGACGGCGAAAAATATATATTTAATTATAATAAAGTTACAATAAATTAAGTTAATATATAATTATATATACAGTACCTAATTTATATATAATTAATATATAATTATATGTACAGTACCTAATTTATATATAATTATATGAACAGACGATACTAAACTCAATTTATCCGCCTAAACGTCCGTAGCGTGGCGCTACGGACGGCGGGAAAGTAGTTTGGCTGCCCGATGACGTTTTACGTATTATAGGAGTTATTTTTACCGTTGTTTACGGATACTGCCACAATTTTTATAGGAATCATAACTATAGGAAACGGTTTTATAGGGGGATCTACTGTACTGTAAATTTTTGTGAGCATGCTATACACATAAAATCACGAAACTACTGAAGGGAAAACTGATATTAGATGCGAAATCTATGTATTACAAGTTTAAAAAAATTCATGTACCGAAAATCACTAGTTTACTATCGCAGGGTTTAAATTGAAAAAATTTACTATTTGAAATACTCCAACATAAAATTTGTTTTGAAGTAAAGCGCGTGAAATATATCGCTTTTTGAGCAATTATGCGTACAAAGGAACCTGTAAAGTACATGTATTTTCATATATTTTATTGTCCTAATTTCAGATTCACTTTACAGTAGACCCTTCCTATAACAGTCTTGATAATTATAAGTTATGCGAATTCCATCTTGTACGAGTCATTTACATTTTACAAATATGTGTGACGGGTTGTGAACGTCTCACGTATTTTTAAAATCTAAGTGACTCGTACAATATGGAATTCATATAACTCGAAATTATCAACAGTGTTATAGGGGGTCTACTGTATTTATAGTGTGTAATACGAAATATAGTGGAACAAAACAGTCGAAGGCTTTAATTTTTTTAAAAAATGGTTATTATTTGATCAATAAGTTGTTTACTTTCGATTCGTTGTTTAATTCTCTGCATTCATGGGAGCAAACGGATTTTAATTTACACGTTGACCATTTGTTTATGAATTACAGTTGTAAATATTAAAAAAAAAACATTTTTTTTTATTTTTGGTATTATTTTATTTGGTAAATATTTCAATATTATATTATTTTTTATTTTAATTTAATAAAATGTTCTCGAAACTTTAATTATTTCCCTTTCGTAGCGCATGTCTTTTTTCGATGAAAGAAGTTAATTCGGTACCAAAAATGTGAAAAAAAAATGATGTGGAAATATTTATCATTGTGCATTGTTTTCACCATTAAAGCAAGATAATTCTATCAATAATAACAGCCATTATCAGTCTTTGAAAAGTTATAATAACAAAAGTAATCTTGCAAATTTACTACTTTGCTTAAACAATTTTTTTAAAATTAAAACGATACAACTCTCCGGCGGTGCACGCGGACTTTAATAAACCCTCTGATATACGACCGAAAACAGGAGAAAAAATTAATAAACAGAAAAGTAGATAAAGATTATAATTTTAGAAAGCAATAAAAGTGATTGACAATAGAAAGTACAGTAGTAGCGCGAGTGTCTTAGTTCTGTCGGTAATCTCAGTCAGAGTCGAAATGATGCTAGACAACCCTATGTTTCTTCATTCCAGAACTGATCTCAATTTTCCACCTGGAGAGAAGTGAGAAACAAATCAGAGAGCAGGAAAAGGGTTATCCAATCAATAGAATATATACGGACAAAAATTATATAAAAACTCAGAAGTACAAAAACATGCAGCGGGTATTTTCATTTTAGTCCCCTCATTCCTCGGAGGGTCGCCGTCAAAAGAAATGAGTTCGACGAAATTTCCGTGTGTACTAGGAAAGTTCCATCAGCTACCAACTCATCGCTGCCCGGAGGTCGCCCGACAGACGAAACTAGCATAGAAAATCAGTACATTCGATCGTTCGGGGCATTTGATAAATCTTTTTGTCATCTGGCAAATACTCCTTTTATCCGGTAAGAAACTTTTGTATTGATAAATGATATTGTAAGGCACTTTTGTATTTTCTGCCTCCTACGACACCACCCGCTTAGTAGAGTGCCACTTGGTCATCCCTGATAAGGAGTTAACTATTTTCTCTTTTCCGGCATACTAACCATACAGCAACGTCAAAGCGAAAATAATTGCTTCATTAGGTGCGCAATTGAGGTTTTTTGGCAGTTATGGCACAAAAACAAGTAAATATCTTACAATTTCACATTAATTACAGTTAAGAGAAACAATTATATTACTACTTGATATATATCTTTTCATGATATATATTAATTTAAATATATAAAAATCGATATATATTAATTATTACTTACCGAATAATTTTACTACCGGTATTACAAAGAATTAAAACAACAGCATTCTACACACGTGTGTGACTTTCTCAAGTGGAACTTATACTGTGTACAGCAACAATAGAATTACTCGTGGAGGAAGTAGTTTTGTGTTAACCTTCGACGTAATGTTTTTTATGGCAATTAAATTTGAAAAGTTTTCTTCGAACTGCTATTAAATTCTATTTTAATAACACTTTTATATTCTCAATTCCGTTCGTACAATAATTTTTAATTAGTTTAAAATTAATCACAATTCATTTTTAGAAAATTAAATGTTATTTGGCTGAGATTTTCAAATTTTAATCTTACATATTTTCACTGTCGTTGTTTATTCGTTGATCTAGAGCAGTGGTTCCCAACCTTTTTTCATTAGCGTACCCCGTGACATGTCATATCTCTAGATTGTACCCCTCATTTAAGAAATTTAGTGAGTACCCGTATTGTTAATTTTACATATTGTAACTTTAAATTAAAAGTAAACAAAAAAATGTATAATAAAGTTGTGATTGTTGCAAGGAACATTTTTTATCTAATAATTTTTTAATACTATTAGTTTGTGATACATAATATATTATTTTTTCTGCCATAATAACTAACTTTTTTCTGTACCCCTAAACAACCTATCGCGTACCCCTAGGGGTACGCGTACCACAGGTTGGGAATCGCTGNCCAGGTCAAACTCCGCTCGGCCACGGGAAAGCCCCAGTTACAAAAATCCCATTCAAAAGTAGCAGAGTCGAGTCCGGAGATGTAGATGGTTTCCTATCGTTCACCGGGCACTGCATTCTATGTCTTGTTCTCGAACTGGAAAAGATGTCCGGTGAATGTACATCGGTCTATAAGTTTTGGAGGGTACATAGGCAAAGGACGAAGATGTAAGCTTGTGGAAAACACTCCTAGCCTCGCGGGACGCCATTGCAAAATAAGCAGTGTCCTTGTGGTCTTGGTTTAAATATCTTGTGGGTTCGAAAATCGTTACTTTATTGGTTATTAATTAATTACCTTTCTCGATCCCCGACCGGTCTTTTTCTGTTACCAGGTGAAATTGAACCAGATTGGTTTCCGATAAAGTGGATTGTTTATTAATGCAATTCGACACCGTCTTTTGTTTAACGTTAATCGAACCGTGTGCCTTACTTTCATATCCTTCTTCGTTCGTCTTGTCTAGAGCAGAATTACCAGAAATGAAGGTTATTATTCAACATTATGTTCCGTGACTTTCATTCTATACTTCGTTTAACAATGGTGTATTAATAATTTAGTCCAGTTTTGGTGGTGACTGATATAATTATTATTTTTCACAAACATTTACAATGAAGGAAATTTTTCCTAAAATTTGAACCGTATGATTTACTCTATCTTTAACCAGTTTTTTGTCACAAGAAAAGTCGATAGTGACAATTGTGTTTTTCTTTCACAACGCCAGTTTTCTTACCATAACAAACTGAACAGTTTCATCAATACAAGAACAAGCAAAGTTATGTAATGAATTACAGTAAAAATTTTATTTTAACCACAATAGGATCACATGTTCCTTCGTGGTGATTGTATCACTTGAGCACTTTTCCTGGCAAATAACATTGACAAATACCTATTCGCGACAATTATGTATATCCAGTCCATTAATAGAGGTGTAAATCAAGGTACATATTAACTGTAAACAAAATTTCATTAAAAAACATAACCGTACCACATTGTTTCGTCATTTTGATCGGANCTTAGCGAAGAACGAGAATGGGTTTATAAGCGTAAAGTAAGGAAAATTAGAAAATATTATCTTACTTTATCATCATCGTCATCTTTCACCGATTCGCTTTCCCACGAATATCTATCGTCATCACCAGTCTTCTCTTCATCAAATTTGATTATTTCTTTGGAGACTAAAAAGTTATAATTTTTTAATTTACATTACAATCATTTTGTAATTAAATATCATAGTTCTGTTATTAACTATAACTAAGTTTATTAAAAAAAGAAACAAATGTAACATTGTGAAATATTCGTTAATGTGAAAAATTTGTACGTATTCCAATATTCATTTATTTTCGCAAATTAAGCTGGATTGAAAAGTTTATAAATATATACACATATAATATTTAAACTATAAAAAAAATGACAAAGCAGTACACATGTATAAACAGTACGTTAAATAAATGTAATCTCTATGAATATAAATATAACTTAAGTTCAGGTTTTTCGCATTCTGATTGAATCAAAGATATAATAAACAGAATATTAAGTGTACAGTGTTTTTCTCTTTGTGTTTCACAGATTATATCTTGTTTCAAAGTTAATTTCAATGTTTATGTTTCATTTTGTGGTTATATATTGGATGTTATTCATAATAAGCCCTTTGCACTTATATACACGTAATTAAATTGAGTTTTCGTTTGACAACGCGAGAAATTGATAAGTTTCTGCAACAAAAATAATTATTACTAGTATTTTTGACGAAATAAATGAAATCCTTTTAGAAATAAACAGTTTGAAATTAATGCTAATTTTGAATTGTTTCGAATATAATAAACTACCACTTCCAACACACCTGACAGACTGTAGATGGATGAATAATATTAAGTTACTTAATTTAAACAGAGTTTAATACAATGAATTTAACATTAAATTATTTTCCAATAATATTTAAACAAATTATTTTATGAATCGAAAAATGTATTTATAATCTCTTTGTGACCTCACCTTCCTCCATTACTTCTCCTTTTTCAGTTAGTTCTAAGGAATCTTCTTTTCCCATGCTTAATTTTTCAGCAAAATCCTGTAAAAAGTGAAAAATTCTGATTAACCATATCATAATCTTACAGTACTCGTAATGTATTTTTATTAAATCAGAAAATATTTATTTATTTATAAATAAACAATTTGCAGCTATTTTAAATAACAAATTTATAAGATTGTGCACGGTTGTCGTGGGGTTTTTAGTTGTAAACTTTTAAATGATAAGAATTGTTAAATTATTTTCAATTATTTCAATCGAATTGTAACTTACATAAGAAGACGATTTTGATTCTTCTTTTCTTTTCCGTGCTGCAAGGTCCATGATGATGTGGACTATGGTCTCGACAGACTCCTCTAAAGTGACTTTTTTTTCGTCACACGAGACTTGCTCCTTGAAATTAATATCATCTTCTCTCTTATCGCATTCTAAAGAATAAAAGAAAACTCAATAAACACAGAAATTCGTAACAATTTCTTCGCCTGAATTCAAAAATTATATAGGAATTTGAAAAAGAAAATCAAAGCAAACAACAAACACTTTACACCAAATAAACATATGAAGTTGTTATTCTAAAAACATATTCTGAAACTTTATTCTATAGCAAATTTACAAAAATATATATTAAAATTAAAAAAAAAAATTAATTAATTTTTGCTTAGAAATTTCTTAAATTAAACGTGATATAAAAACATAAATATTGCGTTGAGATTTGAAATTATTAATTGTATAGAGAGTGTAAATTGTTTCAATCATAAAGTCAACTGAAAATGTAATATTAATAAAGAGTTTTTCTCTGTCGAAGTAAATAGACGGATATTTATTAGCGTATACTTAGAACAACACCAAACGATCGCCTAATTATCGGGCTATAATATGGCTATTGGAACTAAGTAATTTGACAATTAGAGGTAGGCGTTAGGCGCCATCTCTTAATTAAATTAATAATTAAATAAATAAATTTAGAACATTCTGGAATAAAAGAACTGGCCCGGGACGGGGCTTGAACCCGCAACCTCCGCTTGCCGTGCGGTGCGCTTGCCAGTTACGCCACCCGGACCCCGAGCGAGTCTTCGCTTCCAGAAGTATATTAGATTTAGATATAACCTTATTAGCCCGATA